AATCAGAGATTCAGAGAGGGCAAGCAACTTCTCCAAGGTCACATAGCACTTTAAGCCCAAATGAAGCCTCCTAGGCCCTTCCTGCCATACTTAGCCAGCCCCACCCACACCTCCATTGCAACCAAGAGCCCCAGTGTGGTGCCTGGAGAGCAGGTTTGGGCACAGTGCCAGGCCTCGCTAGTGTCTTGCTCATGGTCTTTCAGTGAGGCAGTGTGATTAGGCCTAATTACAGGGGCCTGATACCTTAATACCCTGCCTGGCCTGAGTCTTTCCAATGAAATGAGCGCCCTCTGCAGGTGATTGCTGCTGTAGTGGCATCAGGGAGAGGAGTTATTTAGACCCAATAGAAATAGACTCTGCCCTGACCTTGCAATTCAAGGAGTGTCTCTGCTTCCTGTCCTCTGTCCCCACGTGTACCTTGTCTCTCCTGGCCCCTTAGCTCTAGCTAGTGTGAGCAGAGCCTGGACAGTCCTTTACCTACAGTCACTCGCCACTGCCTAGTCTGTGTCAGGAACAGGCCCCAAGTTCCTGGGGGTTCCAGTTGGAAGAGCCCAAGAGTGCACACTTTCTGTGCTTTTCCAGATCGAGCACCATTTGGTGGTTGATTCAGGCAGTGCCCTCGCCCTCCCCCATCCATCCCTCTGCTTCCAGCCTCTTTTTCACTCTGTGGCCAGGGTTTCTTTCCCATTTCTCCACGTGTGGGGAGTTGAACGGAGACCGTGTATGGAAAGGGGCCCTGCAGGTACCATGCACCTTTTAGGGAGACAGGAAATGTCGCCCCTTCTCTGAATTCCTCTGTTGTCCCTACCAACTCCGCAGTCCCTGGTCCTGCCCTCTCCCTCCCTCATTCCCTCAACAGGCATCAGCTGCTTCCTGCCTCCTGTGAGCTCCTGGCCCCACCACATGCTCTCTGCCCTGTGCAGGCGGGTGGGATGAGGGCTGTGCTGGGTGGGTGGGGTGAGCGTGGGGTGGTCCCGATGCTCTGCTTCCCCCCCACAGGCACCATGACTCCCGTGAGGACCCAGCACTGCTTGGCAGGTCAGACGTACACGGTGCCCCTCAGCCAGCCAGACCTGCAGCGGGAGGAGGCCATCCAGCAGGTGGCGGATGCCCTGCAGTACCTCCAGAAGGTCTCTGCAGACATCTTTAGCAGGTAGGTGCTGTCCCCACCCCCACCTGCTGAGAGGGCTGCACCCTGTCCTGGCAATCCTCTCTCCAGTCCCAGGAACACACCCTCTGGGAACAGCCCCTTTGGTGGTTCTTGGTGCTGGGGGACCCAGCTGGCTTCCCTGTGCAGGAGGGGTCCAAGGCAGGAGCCCAGTGTGGAAGCGTTTTCTCCTCAGTGCCTGGGAGCTCACTGTCTACTGCCCCCCTTGGCATCTGGCTTCCTGTGGGTCCCTCAGGCCCCAGTGGTGCCTCTGCTCTCCCAGCTGGTGCTCGTCCTCCCACCACGGGGCCCTGTTCCTTCACTCATCCTTGCAGCCGGCAAGCGTTTACCCAGCACTGCTGTGTGCGAGGCGCTGTGCTGTTCTGTGTAGATGCAGCAATGCATAAGGCAGCGGCCCTGTCCGGCTCGAGGACGTGCCTGGCAGGAGAGACAGACTTAAACTACCACTCGCATGATTAGTTATTGAATTACAATTGTGAAGACCTATCTATTATACTTTTGTGATTACTGATATTTATATAGCATTAAGTATGCACCACCATTGATAACTCATTTACGCTTGCTACACTGTATGAAGAGGTTCTGCTGTTACCTCCAATGTACAGATGAGGAAACTGAGGCTGAGACTTGGCCACATGGCACAGCCAGTGTTCAGACCAAGTTGTGGCCCAGATTCTGTGAGGTTCTTGGCATCTGTCTGTGAGGGGACATGTGCTATGGGACTTGTGACAGGGGCCTGGCTTGGTCTAGGGGCATCAGGGGAGGCGTATGTGAGCGAGCGTGTAGGTCGAGAAGAACAGTCCAGAAAGAAAGGGCATGCGCTAACAGCAGGAGGTGGAAAGGACCTGGAAGGAGCCGGTGTGCCTGGAGCAAGGAGAGGCTGGTGGGGCCTCAGGGCCACTGGCGGTTCTGAGCTGGAGAGCTGCAGCGGCTTGTGTCTCCAGCGCCGACCCAGCACATTCCGTGTTTGCTGAGCAGGAGTGAGTGGATGGTGTTTGCTGCTTCCGTGCAGGGTCCCAGGTTGTGTTGGGTGAGCAGGTCCTGTCCCTGTTTGGCCAGGAGGAACCTGAAATGAAGCTGGGTCTCCTTCCCGGGCGCCACCCTGTGCCTCCCACGGGGCCTTTCCTCCCATCTAGTGTGAAGTGTGTGACTCAGGGTCCCCTCAGGCTCTAAGTCACCCCCCACCAGTTGGACACCAGACCTGGAGTCCACCCCCCTTGCACGCATGTCCTCCTGCTGCACCGGCTGGACGTCTGGCTCTCCTGGAGCCCTCCCCTGGGGCAGGGGGGGTCATTGCCTCCAGCTGGACGTGGCGCAAACACCACATCCTCTGGCCTCTCCTGCTTCCCTGCCCTCTGACGCCCGCCACCCTCTACCCCTCAACCTGTCCCAAACCTGTCCAGAATGTCCCCGTAACCAAGGGGCAGCGACTGAGTGGCCACGGCTCACTCTGGAGCAGGACGTCCTGGCTCACATCCGGCTCCCCCGTTTCCTTGCTCTGTACTTGGGGAAGTTACTTAACCCCACTAAGCCTCGATGCTGTCATCTGTAAAATTGTGATAGTGATGGTATGTTCCTCCCAGGCTTGTGGTAAGGATTAAATGAATTAAAATATGGGAAGAAAGGAAACCGTGCCTGGCAGCTAGTAAGCATTCAGGAAACGTCAGCTCTTCCTTGCTGATGTCATCTCTGCCCATTGGCTGCCCCTGGTGGCCAGTCATCAACCTGTTGTCAATAGTTTTAGCAAGTGTTAGATGCCTCCATTATGCTGATTTTTGTGCTGAATGTGCCCAAGGGACACAGGCCTTTAAGAGCCATCAGCCCCAGATGACGGCCACCCCATTCCCAGTGCTTGGAACGGATGCCAAGGCCATTCCCTCAGAAGTTACTGTGTCTCCTCACGATGGTGGGCTGCATGCGCACCCTTCTCTAAGGGGAGTGTTGGGTATTTTCACACTTTCCTTTCCCGTCCTGGTATTTGGCACCTTGTAATGTCCCCCTGCCCTGGGATGGGCTGAGGAGAGAGCAGGAAGGCCATCTCCTGGGGAGGGGAGCAGTGACTTCGGTGGGTGTGGGTGCAGGCCCAGCATGTGCCTGGCATGGCCCAGGAAGGGCAGGTTCCTCTTGGGAGCCTGGGCCTGAGTCCAGCTGCCTCACACTGGGTTCCCGGTCACCTCATCAACCTCTTACCGTGCGTTGGTGTCATGCTGGACCCTGGGGGATAGATACCTAAGGTAGGCATGGCATGGTGTCCTCAAGGAGCTTAGAGTGTAGGATGGGAAAGCATCGGGCTGGGCTGATTCCTGGTGCACAGCATGAACTGCGTGGGCTGCTAGGGTTCGAGAGAGGAGAGGAAGACGTAAGACTCGGAGGCTGCCCTGCCAGTCAGGACCCCCCGAGCCAGGTTGGGCAGAAAGCGAGCATCAGTAGAGCAGGCTTTGGAGCGGAAGGGCTCAGATGGTTCCGTCAGGGCCTGGTTTTGCTTTCACTCCACTTCAGCTCGGCTCTTTGTGTTGGCTCCGTTCCCACACAGGCCTTGCTCTAGTGGTGGAAGGTGACAACCAGCTGGGCCAGAGCTCATGCACTCAGGGCCAGGTCGCAGGAAAGAATGCCCCCACTGGGCAGCATCTCCTCCAGAGTCACACTCGCCCCATTTGGCCTGGCTTGGTTCTCACGTCTACCCAGAATCAATTCCCTGGGCCGGGGCATGTGACACCAGATTGCCTAGACCTGGGTCGCTGCCTCAGCCCTGAGCCCTGGCGGTAGCCCCCCCTGAAGCACAGGGACTGAGCCTGAGGGAGAGGCGGGCTCCCCCGAGGACATGGGGGCCGTTCCCTGAGCGAGGAGGAAGGAGGTGCTGGGAGGAGAACTGCGCCTGCTGCGCGGGGCCGGGGGCCGGAGGCTCCTGGAGGAGGGCAGGGCGGGAAGGTGGCCGTGCAGCTCGTCTGGGGGAGTCTGGACGTGGGGGCACAGGCTGGAAGAGAAGCCCGGATGCGGCCTGGAACACGGCGTATCACGGGCCGCCAGGGGAGGCTGGCCTGAGCGGCGCTGCTTCTGCACGGGGAGCACAGACGTGCCACCTGTTCCTTATGCGCGGCTCCTTCACTGCAGGACGAGGTGTGCACGGTTGGCCTTGGTGCGCCTGTGGGCCTGGCCTCCCTCTGGGGTGTGCGCCCTTGCGTTCCTCTGCCTCTCTGCCTCCTCAACGGTGCTGCGGGAGCGCTCCAGGGCAGGAGGGCAGCGTGGCGAGGAGCGAAAAGTTGGGTTAAGTGAGCGAGGGCCCGTGGGGGTCCGTGACAGGACAGGTCGTTGAGCTTGACTCAGGGGTCTCAGGCAGCCACGGCAGGTCCTTGCACAGGGAGGTGATGGGACGGAGAGTTCTGGGAGGGCTCATCAGGCAGCCATCACAGCGTGGACAAGATGGGGAGGGCAATTTCCAGGGCCCCCTGGAAGCTGTCGCTGTAGTCCGGACGTGAAAGGGATGAGGTCCCAGTTCAGGGCCATGCAGTCAGGAAGGGCTCGATGAGATATTGCAAAGGAAACAGGATATGGTGACAGATTGGGGACAGGATGGAGGAGAGGAAGAGTCAGCGATGGGCGGTGGGGCGGAAGACTGACACCTATCCTCATATCCTGGAACTGCTGCTAAACCGTGTTCTCTCTACCTTCTGTGTGTGCACACGTGAGTGTTTAAACCTAAAGTAGCCTCACATTCCTTGTTTGGGAATTCCGTCTTGTCACTGCTGCCCCTCCTTGGTTCTGTCCTGTGGCCATTGGCCCTCCCGCACCTGATGTCCCCAGCTTCCTTCTCAGGTGTTGGCTGAACTGGACGGGCCCTGCCAGCGCCCCACGTGCAGGGCTGGCATCAGTCCTCTCCCCAGCAGGGCCGTGTGGGCGCTGTGGTGCATCTGGTGCGATCTGTCCCGTGTGTACTCGCGTCCAACAGCTCCGTCTCCTGCACAGGGTTTCCTTAGGAGCCCTCAGAGTCCTTGCCCACCCAGGGGCGCTGTGTTGTGGGTTCTCCCCTCACACCAGTCTAATAACCCTGCCAAGGACAGAAATGCTGTGACCCGAGCACAGCGCTGGGCCCCGGGACTCGCCTCTTCCTTTTTTAAGAGCTGACAGACCCGGTTTAATAAGCCACTCGAGAAATTTGCCAGACTCGTTGCTGAGCTTGCTGTTTGCCACTTTGAGCCATCAGCCCTTCTCTCCTGGATGGCAGCGCCGGACAGAGCAGCCTCTGTCCGTGTCCAGTCCCAGTGTCCTGCCCTGTCCCCCGTGGACCTCTAGTAGAGTACTCAGGGGACCAGGGAAGGTCGCTTCAGCACCTGGGGGCAGAGTGTGGCTGCCTTGGGCACTGGGCTGCCTTAAAACAGCTCGTCCCCGCCGGGAGAGACGGAGCCCGCGCTCTGCCTCCTCTGGCGGGAAGGAAGCGGTGCCCTCCTCTGCCCACCTGGCTGGCTGCAAGGAAAACCGCGCTGCTGCGGGGCCTGCTTGTGGTCCAGCCCTGCCACCTCGCTGCGCCCCCGCACAGGAGGGGCCGGGAGAATCAGGGCAGGCTTCTCAGGGCGTGGAGACCCCTGGATTGTGAAAATGGCTGATCGCTGGGTTTTCTGGAGGCCGAGACCTTCCGGAGTTGCTGGGAGTGGATCAGGCAGGTTGGGCAGGTTCCTGGCTGTGCATTTCACCCTTAGCGAGATCACAGTGGTCCCTGGTCCTGGGGTCTCTGCCCCTGGAGGCAGTGGGGCCCCTCTGTCACCCCACCTCGCCCTCCTACCTTTCCCCGGCAACCACACTTGAGCCTCTGCCCCTTGTTTCTCGTGCCTTTCACGCTTGCTCTCGCGGGGAGGCTCACGTGACCACTGTGGATGTGGAGCACAGTAGTCGTGGCCAAGGGCTGGGGTTCCTGGGGGTAGGGGGGCTACGGGCTGGGGGGAGGACAGCGGGGCACCCGTGAGTCAGAGTTCACTTTGCAGTGAGAAGAA